GGCTCAGCCCGCCCTGCCCGTGCAGCTGCCGCTCGGGGGGGCAGGGCAGGATCGGGACCCGGCGCCCAGCCTCCCCTCCCCGCCAGCCCCGCCAAACCGCACCTGTTCGCCTTTAAGAGCCCGCCGTCGTCCCCCCCTCTGCCTGTGACATCACGTTCGGTTACCGTAGAGACGACTGTGACATAAGAGGACGGTGACATCAAACCAAGAAAGGGCATGAACAGGCAGAGGTGGAGAGGTCGGGACGCAAACTGGCAGCCTTTCCCCCTGCACACGTGACCGGGAGCTGGGGGGAGTCCAGGATACCCCCAGAGCCCTGCTTGCCTTCTTCCCCCCAGCATTGTGCGACTGGGAGGAGGTGAATGGGCACTGCCGCCAGGAGGGATCCAGTCTGCCCCACAGCAATGCTACTGGTCGCTGGACGTAGGGATTGGTCAGCATCTAGGCTGGACGTGGGGCCATGGGTCCCTGGAGGGAGCCCCAGGCAAGGGGGAAGAGGTGGTAACCAGGCAGTGTTTGTGACAGACCACCCATTTGCCTCTTACTTCCCACTTCCTCCCAGCCACTGAGCAAGAGATGGAGAGCAAGATACAGAACATGCATATCAACAGCTCAAAAAAACCCTGCTGTTAAATTCAATTTTCCCTTTGAGTGCTTGTCCCACACTGCAGTATGGGCGATTTCTAGAGTTCACCTGGAAATGGGCTTTGGAGTCCTATACTTTTGGGGGCCCTCACTTCAGGAGGGATGTGGAAAAGCTGGAGTCCAGAGGAGAGACACTTGTATGATCCAAGGCCTGGAGGGCAGGCCATACAAGGAGAGGCTGAGGGATTTGGGACTCTTCAGTCTGGAAAAGAGAAGGCTCAGAGGGGACTTGGTGGCAGCCTACAATTATATGAGGGGGGCATCAGGACCTAAGAGAACAGCTGTTCACCACAGCTTCCCAAGGGATAACAAGGTCTAACGGCCATAAACTCCAGGAAGGCCGATTTAGACTAGACGTAAGAAGAAAGTTCTTTACAGTGCGAGTGTCCAGGGTCTGGAACAGATGCCCCCCAGAGGGGGTGCAAGCACCTACTCTGGACTTTTTCAAAAAACATGTGGTTGTATTTCTTGCTAGGGTCACTTGATCCCAGCTGACTTCCAGCCAATGGCTGGGGGGCTGGACTCTGATCTCAGGAGGTCCCTTCCAGCCCCTAATGTCTATGAAATCTATGAAATCTAAAACTTGTTGAAAAACTGGGGAACTGCTTCAACAAAGGCACAGTGCTTGGGGATATATAACACTCCAAGTAGCTGTCTGTTGGATGTTATTTACATAAAGATTTCTCAGGGAAACCATCAAAATCACCTGGTCTCTCTTGTGCAACAACCTCATAGCACACTTTAATATAATATGTAGACCAGCCTCCAAAAGTATAGTCTATAGTCTAAAATCACCATGCTTATCATTCTTTTGGCCAGGGAAACAAGCAACCAAGATTTCCTAAAGGCTCAAGCCTTTGCAAGTGGAAGGATGTGGCTTTCTGACCATGTGCATCACTACACAGCTTCAAAGCTTTGGGGAAATGCCAGCAGGTCAATCAGCACTGGGGCAAATCCTCAAGGAGACCATATCTGGATAATGAAAAAAATTAACAAGGGGCCTACCCTCAGTGCTTGAATCTCAGCTTTCTTGGTGGCAAGAAGTGAAAGTATCTCCATGGACAGGTGGGGCAGTAAGCAGGCTACCATATGCTGAACTAAGTTCAGGCCCCCCGAGAGAACAGGATCTCTCACCAACTGGAAGGCCTCTTGTCCCAGTCTACCTGGTCTCCACCTCCATTTCCTTTCCTTCTTGCCTGCTATGCCTTGTTGTTAAGAACATTAAAGGAACATTACTTGTCTAGAGAAGAGGAGAGATCCACCTGACTGCAGGTCATCCTCCTCATGGGTCTCCTCCCAACCCTACACCCTGCTCCTTACGACTCCTGGCCTGGTGTCCAGATTTGTAGCCTTACCTTGGGGGTTCTGAACCCCACCATCAGCAATGGCTACTCGGTCTGCACCCCCAAGCCTTTCTTAGGGTACCTCAATCAGTTCTCAATCTAGTTGAGAAGGCTGATCGCCAGCTACTTTATTCCCTGATGCCATGGAAGTGCAATCAAATATTAATAAAGTTCCCTGTCTCCCATGGCTCACACATTACCAATTACTTACCAATGAATTCAACAGCCCCTTTTTCACATAACAGAAGATCAACTGGTTATCCCCAAATCCGCCCCCCCCCCACTTTCACTAGTTGCCCAGATTTATTATTAGTGAAATTACCAGCCTCCCTTTGATTCACAAAAGATCAATTAATTATCAATTAATTCCTCAATTAAGTCTCAATGAATTCCACAGTCCCAGCTGACCCATGGCTGAACAATTTTAATCATCAATGAATTCATCAGCCTCCCTTGATTCACCAAAGATCAATTAATTATCCCTGAATTTATCAATCTTTATCCTTCATATTAATTACATTAAAGGTCCCATTCTCTCTCTTATCAATGTATTTGGATCCTTCCATCAGTTTACCAAGTCTGACAACACTCACTCTAAATTCGCTGCCTCCCTGGGAGCAGCACTTTCCTTTCCACTCATCAAGTTTCCTTTCACTCGCCTCGTCTCACTCAGTGGTCTGGCCCCGAGCTTTCCCCGTCTTCCCAGACAAGCTCACCGGACTCTTGCATTTTGGTTGGGAGTCCTGGTTCTGCATCTCTACACGGTATGCACAGCACTCCCAGCCTGCTGTGCACGCCCCTCTCCGGGGCTAACTGTGTGTGCAGGCTCCTTCCTTCTAGTCCACCAGAACTCCCACCGACCAATGAGGGCTCCCTCCCCCTGCATGTGCAGCCACGTGCGACCGGGATCCTGCTCTTTCACCCCAGACTGCATGCAGTCACTCCTCCAGCCACTCATCCCTACCAGCTTCTTCAAGGTAAGCTTGTTCCCCATCCCTGCCCTGCCAGTGCTCATTGGCCAGAACAGGGACCAGAGCCAACTCCCAGTTACACCTTGGCTAGGCCACAGAGAACTTCATGTCTCATAGGTGGGAGAAGGAAGACTGAACTCCTGAAGATAACAGGATGTCAGGCATACCCCAACTAAGCTGAAGTTGTCAGCAGCCAGACATCACCTGTAGCAGGTAGTCTAATGTGGCTGGCATGGAAATCTCATAAGGCAGGGGTTGTCAACTGGGGGTACTTGGGAAGGCCCTAGGGGGTACACATGGGTGGGCAGGGATGGAGCGCCACCTCCCAGAAGCACAGTCGGGGGGGAAAGCGGGGGGAGAGGACCAGGGTGCCCCTCTGCAGGCCGTGCAGGTGCCACCTGGCTGACTGGACACTGGAGGGGAAGGGAAGGGAGGGAAGCTTGCACACAATGACAGACACTACCACCCACCACTGTGCTGTTGCTGCTCTGCACACGGCCACCACCACCACACCCCTCCCCCCCACACACCCTCCCCATGTCCAGCCACCAGGGGTACACTGATTAAAAAAGGTTGAAAACCCATGTCATAAGACAAGTAAGCTTTTGCACAATGCCAGTCCTTGTCTCCTTAGCTAGGTAAATTCATCAAGTCAAGCCTTTCATGCTATGCAAGAGAATGGTGATAGGGAACAGGACAGGCTGCACTGCAGTGTCACAACATTTGCATGGTGAGTTATGGGGAGCAGAGATTCAGAATGTGCATCTTGTTTTTGGACCAGCAGGGCTGAGACCAGTGAGAGCATTTAGGGGCACTTCACCAACATCTGAAGGAGGGAGCTTCAGATTAACTTCCTCAGCCAGAATGGAGCCCACAGAGTCCTGCCTTGCCTTGCACATAACTCGTAGAATAAGGTATGGGTGAGGAGGCATGCAAGGCTTTTCCTGTAGATGGGATGAGAGAAACAGCACTGTCTTTTGGTGCCTGGAACACCCAGAGATCAATCTGTTTATCCACTCATCTGCAAAGACAACCTGAAATCTTTGATTTCCTGCTTACTGTGCAGGGGTGTGCCTGCTAAGGCCATCTGCTCTCATATCCCTAAAGCAAGGAAATGCATTATCAAGAAGGGTATCTGATGGCATGCACACCAGTTTGGAGAGGTCATACATCTTGTTCTTTTATATAAAACATTATGGTGGTAGTGTCCATTACGATCTGTAACCCTATACCCAGCATACCCTTAAATGTGGTCTAGGAATAGGGTGACCATATGGGACGATGGGAAATCTGGGACACTGGTGTGTGTGTGTGGGTGCGCGCACGTCCCTCAAGCCAGCAGCACTGCTGCAGGAAGAAGCACATGCTGCTGCAGTACCAAGGCAGAGCCTGGAATGGTGCAACCCAAAAATGCATCCCCAGCAGCTGGGTGGCTGAGAAGGAGCCAGGCAGGACATCCCCGCCCCCCTTCCCTCAGGGCAGGGAGAGCTGCCCCATCCTGTTCCACCACTTCCCCTCCTCCTGAGGAAGCCTTGAACTCACCCGGACTCTGAACAAAAGCTGGCCCCTCATCCCAACTCCACTGGGCTGTGGATTTGTACAGTCAGGTCAGAGCCAGCCTTAGGGGTAGTCAACTTGGGTGACCACCCAGGGTGCCATGGTCAGGGGGGTGCCCCTCCCCCCCACCAACGTGAGCAGCCTATGTTCAGGAGGAGCCAGGTCGGGCACATGCAGGCAGAATAGTGCCAATTCAATACTTTTGTTTAAATTTTCACCAGCTGGCTGGGGTGCTGAGACAGCCTACAAAATCCAAGACTGTCCCAACCAAACCCAGACATACGGTCACCCTATCTAGTAACACCTGGCATGGTCTTTGTGTGGTTTCAAAGAGTAGAGACCTTGGGCTTAAAGACTGTTAAAAAGCACTGCCCATCCCAGTGGGAAAACACCTGTCCCAAAAAACTAACCAGGGCTGACGGGAAGAATAGGATCCCTACTGACTGTCCTCCCTGATGTGGTAAAAGGACTAATAACCAGGAGAGGAGTTGCTTTCACACCCAGTAGATGCCTCTTTGGGAAATATATGGCCCATGGCCTACTTACACACATCCAAGCCTGTAATCTGGCATCCTGATGCCCAGAATGAACAGGCAAGTCCTCACTGACATCCATTCCCCAAAATTTGGAGGCATATTATCAGTAAATGCTGAAAGACACTCATGGATAGAGAAGTCTGCTACCAGGACTTGGTGGCTAACTGCTCCTGAACTGTAGGCAGGTGCCCCCAAAGAACATGGTTTCCTTTCTAATCAGTCCAGCCTTTGGTCTTTCAGCATGCCACAGAGCTGCTCTGCCTTTCCATTACTTGCAGCTATCCTGACAGAGAAGCACATGGCATAGACACAAAAGAATGTTTATATCCAAGCTGGTCCCTCCAAGAGCATTAGTGTCGGAGCAGAGGGGTCTTCTCCTGGAACTGCCCAAGTCTGTTGCTCAGCAGAGATCTTCTCAGGTACAGAGGAACTCAATGTCTTTCTCAATAGGGAAGAAGGATGATTTTACATCCCTTAGAAAAGCCAGCCACTAGAAGGTGAGCAAGGCTAACCCCTTCAGTATAAACAATGGCCTCTTAGAATCATGCCACCTGGTTCCAACTCCATGCTCTCCCCTCACATCCCATCACCCTACAAGTAGTGGAGGAAGGCTGGTATTCCTATCCTGATGTCAGCCTTGTGAGTCAGGCTCAAATGCTGGACCATGCTGCTGGTAGGTTGTTTAGAGTAGACGATGTCAGCAGGGCACATGGTCCAAATGACTAGAGGAGGCCAGCTGTAGGGGATCCAGGAGCTTTGGTCACAGGCTGTACTGTGGGACAAACCCTGCTCCCCATAGGATAAAAGCTGCAAGAGAAAGCTGTGGACTGGAACACCAAGAAGCAACCAGGGAAGAGCAAGCAAAATACATTTCCATGCCCAGTCCTTAGGGCTGGAGCTGATAGCATAGGTTGCACCCAATGTGCCAGCCCACCCTGCAGCATGGGTCTGAGAATAAGGTCACAAGGCTCACCTCACTACCAGGAGACCTTGTGGTAAGCAGCAGGGCTGGGGCAGACTCTGCACATGAGACAAGTCTCTGCATCTTGCTTGGAGGTGGCTCCCATTTGGCCCCCATTCTGCCAAGGCTCACAGGAATGAGCTGTGAGTCACAACTGAACCCCACCTCACCAAGAAAGAACAAGATGAAATACAGAAGTCAAAGGAAGTTCAGAATCCCAAAGCTTTCCTTTTACTTATTTATAAAAAGAAACATTTTATAAAGACATGAGAAACGCTGCTAGCTCCTCTCCCCAGAGGCACTGGCAGCACACAGTGAAGTGCCAGCCTCTCAGGACCACCTCATAGCAGGAGGCACACTCCAGCACAAGAGGTTCCCAAGTGTCAGGTGACAGTTATTGGAAATGTCTGTTGGGGCAAGGGAAGCCTGGGGTCCTCAGAAACCAGTGGGTGCCAGGTTCAGGGGAGAGGGGAAGGCTGGCTACCAGGTTCTCAGATGCCAATACGCAAAAAGATCCATGGAGCAGTGTTGTTACGTGCGTGCATTTCGCTCTGTCTCTGCCAGGCACTCTCTCACTAGTGCCCGAGCATGGATAATGCCTGCAAGAGAAGACAAAGGGAGGTCTTAGACCAGCCATACAGCCAGATTGCCCACACCAGCAGGATCACAGCATCAGCTGCTTTCTCCATACCCACCCAATCACATCTCTGTGCTGTTGTTCCTGCAAGTGG